TATGTGAGCATCTAAAAAAAAAATTATTAATTCTTTGAGTTAGTTCTCAGATCAGCTTAATTCATTTTGTTGTGCCAAATTTGAGATTTCTCTCTACTTGCCTTTTGTTGCTAATGTAAAATCATCCAGAAGATACAACCAGGAATCTCCAAGCCCCTTGGTCTGAGATACAGGGTAACCCACCAACTCCTTGTGCTGCAACATGTGTTCAGCAACACAATCACCATCAGCTTCATGCCAGCCAACACAGACCCACTATTTTCTGCCATCTTTAGTGTCAAAAATCTCTGTTGCTTGAGTATTTTTGTTTCTTCATCCCCACCCTGGCATTCCTGCATGCTTCTATGTGAAGAGGATACCTTTGACATAAGTTTCAATGCTTTGATTATACAAACAAGTAAACACCACTGATTGATTTAACTTTTTCAAGCTTTTCTCCTGATGTTTTAACCTAGTTTCAGACTAGGATTCTTCCTAGCACGATGATGCACATGCTGCTGCAATACACATGAATAACTAAGCCAGCTGTAGAATAAGATTTTGCCTTTTAACAAATATTTCTAGCCAAATAAGACTAGAACTTAATTGTATGAGCTTCTGAGTGAAAGAAAGACGCAAGAAAATTTTGTTTAAAACTATCATTACAAAGTATTTTACTGATTTTTAGATCTACATAGGCGTTTCTGTCGTTATTTGTACTTTACATTCACAACAGAAATTGTTGATTTCTTCTTTTCCTAGTTAACAGCTCCCTGCAGTTGTTTCCATGCAAATGATGCTTGATGTGAAGTGGAAAATCCAACTTTGAAACTGTCTGGAAAGGGAAACAAGAAACTGTCTGTTTGTTGTGGAGTCTGATTCAGTGAAAGTTTCACCAGCCATTTCTCAGAATTGCGTATTTCTCGTGAGGGCTTCATGTATGTGTAAGTTATGTTTCTTCATGTCCCCATTTTGTGCACTCAGGTTTGTGTGTGATAAAGAACCTGTTTTTCTGAAGGCAATTAGCCATCTAGCTTCTTCACTTGAGTTGCTTTAAAGTCCCATAGAGCTGAAGCAATCAATAACTATTAGTCGTTCCATTGGGTCTTTTGTTTTTAATCAGGCCCCCATTAGGAGCATGTGAACTTCTTTGTATTTCATTCTTGTTTGAAATAAGCCAGATATGAAAATCTGGAAGTCCTTTGCAATATAGGGCTTCCACTGTACTGCGAGTGCCCAAGATGAAGCCATGAAAAGAAGACAAAAGTATAAATGCTGGAAAACAAATCATGCTTTTTACCATTCTTGTGGTGTTTTAACCATTGAGAAGTTATGCCTAGAGGTAGTAGATTTATACTGATTTACCTTTAGCCTGGCTTTGTCCCCCTTTACCATAGTACCTGGCGATTGCCTGAGCACCTGGGCTCTTGAATGAATCATCTGCACTGGCTTCGGAAGGAAACCTTCTCAGTGCAATAGCAGCAATATCCGGACTGGCCATCGGTTTCTATTCCGTTCAGCCTCAGCTGATATATTTCATATGTTTTTGTAGCTGAAGCTGGGCCAGGACTTCTCTAGCTTTGACAGGAGGGCTAAATGAGAGCAGGGAATTTTATGTTCCTCTTCCCACAGCATTCCAGTAACCATGCAGGAAGTCATTGATCAATGGGATTTAGGCAGTGTGCACAAGAAAGGTACGTGTGTGTGGCCTGGTGGCCTTCGCAGCATGTGCTATGACGACACCACCCTCTGATTCAATAAACGGAGGGATAAGAGACGAGGTGGTAAGCCACACACACCACTATTATATGATGCATCTCTGTAGCCAAGCGAATGCAGTGTGGTCTGCTTTTAAAGCCCATTCTACAAGGCTGCATGGTTCTTACTAAAGCTATGGTTTAGATGTGGTCAAAGGAAAGAGATTTTCCTGGAAAGTTGCTTAACGTGCTGTAACCGAGGGCAAGTTCTCTGACCCAGTGGCTCATCCTACCCTGGGAGCAGAAAAAGGATCTGACCTTTCACAGGTCACTTAGGTTTGTTTTACTGTCCTGATTTGTGCCATAACGCAGGAGATCTCAAAAGCCATGTCATCTCCTCAGGAGGCTGCTATGCATTCAGGCCATGCAGCACAGGGAGGGTGGAAGACCTGGTATGCCTGCACACTTGAGCCAGAGCTGTTAGCAGGAATGGCTTTGATGGTTTGCTCTGCCCTAAATGAAGTCAAACTCGTTCCTAGGATAAGTTCACTGACCTTCCTGGAGCTGCATGGGAAGAGTATTTGTCATGTTAAATACGCTGTGGATATAGAGAGCGAGCCAAAAAGAGAGAAGTACTTATCCAATAAATGTGCATCGTTTGTTTGTAGTTGCTTTAGGGCATTAAAATTGCCCTGGAGAGCTCTTCTAGGCCTCTACCTGCCTACATTGTACCAGGAGCTGTTACGCTGCAAAGAAAACTTCACCTCAGCAGTTTGTGTGCGTTATGGAAGGTGACAGTTTGACTTTTTATCTTTCCTGTGCCCCAGTTTCCCATTTGGCCACAGGACGTGGCTCGGGGTAGGATGCAGCTGTGGTGAGGCAGACAGGGAAGGGGTTGATGTCAGTTCAGCAGCTCTGTCATTGCATGACTCGAAGCATAAACTAATGAAGTAAATCTGTTTTCCTTCTCTCTCTCTTTCTTATCTGTGATTTTCCACATCCAGAGGAAATGGAGAGGGGGAGGCAGCAGGAGGCTGTTATCATGCAGCGATGAGACAGGCTGTGGAGAAAAAGATGCTACTCCTTCAGCGCTCCCAAATGTGCTCCCAAATCTCAGAAGAGCTGAATATTTCAGCTGAAAGAGTCAGCCATGAAATAATCTTTTCCCTGGACACCGGAATAGTTATCATTATTGTACAGCATCAACAGTCCATTGAGCTGAACAGGGCAGCCTGTGCAGAGCTAGTGTTTCAGTCTGTCCACCTGCAGCACAGTAAATAATGGCGAGGATAGTTTACTGTTACAGAGGGATCGGAATTGCTGGCTGAATGGTCACAATCCAAGAAAATGTGTTTTAATTTAGCTAAATGAAAAGTAATACATCTGGGAACAAAGCGTTCACGCAGTACCTACAGGACAGGAGATTCTGCCTTGGAAAAACAGGATTATGGGGTCATTACGGTAACTACCTCCACAATAGCTGCTGGTTCAATGGGGCTAAGAGGGCTCAGCTGACTCCAGGAACCTAGAAGCAGATGATGAGATCTGGGGATGGCAGAAGCATGGGCAGGAGCAGCCCTGGGCTGCAGCATGAGGTGGTGGTCTCACTGGGTGTCCAGATCTTAGCAAGAACATAGAAACGTTGGGGAGGACCACTGAGACGGTGCCTGGGAAAATAAAAGCCTTTCTGTCATGAAAGGGTTAAAGTGCCACCCAGTCAGCTTTTCGAAGGCAAAGTTGGGTAAGTCTTTGTAACACTGGATCCTCATTGCAGTGAGGAGACACTGAAGTTACTCTAACTCAGCTGTATCATGAGGCCTTACTTCCTATCGGTGGGTTATGCTGACCAGGCAGGAGATGGTAAAATCACCTCAGGGGGTTACCTTAACAGACATGCCTGAATCCACCGTAGGAGAGAAACTCTCCGTCATGAGCATGTAAAGTTTGTTTGGGGATTATAATCTCTCAATTCTCATTCCTGTGCCTTTCTGGCATGGTGGTGGAAACAAAGCAATCTGCATTTCCTGCAGTCTGCTCATTGCTGCAGCTCTGCACTGAGACAGTGACAATGCCCAGCCTTCAGCTTTAAGATTTTGGGCCACAACAGGGCAGAGACTTTTCTTGTCCGATGCAAAACAAGCAGTGTGTTGTAGGGTATCACTGTATTTTCTTCACCTTCTTCTGAAGCACTGGAAATAGATGGGGTAAATGCTTGTGTAAGGTCTCTGCCCTTTGGACTTGCCCGTGATTGCCACCTCCCTGAGGTCTTAAATCACCTGCCAGAATTACTTGTGCACATTGCATTAGCCAGTTTGCTGCTTTGGTGTCTTCTGGTCTTTACCCATGGCACAGAACAGCTTCCCTTTCAGAGGACTGTGCTGCGTTAGTCTAACTGAAGCCTTAATGCTCAATGCCGGCTCTTCTTGACTGGCCTGTGGAGCACAGCAGCTACTGTCAGTTGGTCATAACAGGCTCATCTTCAACCCTGGGAGGTCAAAACATGACTTTGAAGAAAGCATCCAGTCATATCAAACAACAGGTCCAGAAATGTGGTTTTCTCTGAAGTGAAGGACGCGAGACCTAAAAACGCGCAGAGGGATTAAGGCCACCTAGGCAATATCCATAGGACAGAGTCCTATACTACTGCTGTTATCTTTGATCTGTGTTCTCTCATTTACTACTTCTGGAAGGGAAGGCAGCACCTGGCTTTCCCAGCCTTCCTTAATGACTTTCCCATCAAGCGTGAAGGAAGGTATTTCATGCTGTGGCAGGATTTAAGCCTTTGCACTTTGCTTCATCCCACCACAACCGCAGACCCGCCTCACCTCCAGGATCCGCACTTCAGCTTACGCGTGAACTTCTCCAGCTTTGCACCTTGGGTTTTGGATCCACGCTTTAGCAAGAGGAAGGCCAGCCGAGATGAAGGGGTCTGACTCCCAGCGCAGACCTTCCCAGACCGTGGGAGCGCTCCTCTTGCGCAGCTCTGACCTGGGCCCATCTCTAAATATAACCGTAACTCAATAAAATGTAAAAAAGGGACCAAGACGTGACTGCAACCTTCCATCCAACAGTGGTTGAGTTATTACCGCAGTTACATCACAGCTGAAACAGGTGCAAGGAAATAAGCCTCCCAAAAGTTTCTATTCAGGAGGGAAATGACTGAAGAGAGCAGAGGGAAAGGAGGAAGGCGGAGGTAAGGGTAGGAGCCAGGGGACAGAGTGGAAGTTGTTTCTCTTGGGATGTGGCCAACTTAGTAGCTGTCCAAACCCAGGAGATGGCTTGGATGCTCCTTCTGTTACTGTCTTTGCTTTTTCCCATTTTCAGGCTGCCTGCTACCAGAGAGCATGATAACTCCAGCATTGCGTTGCCCTCTGAATACCCTATTGCCTGGGACCTCAGCAGCCCGCTGAACCACATTTAGGCCTGATGCAAGCAGACACACATCCTTCCGAGCAGATTTTGTGCAATTTTCGAGGAATCCTTCAAGGACTCATCAGCTCAAGTAATTCTCTCTGCCCCAACACTATGGGGAAGGGAAGCGATTATGGGAAAGCTCATGTTCCTCCAGCAGCTGCAGTCGCATTGGGTGGGATTCATCTGACTAAACATAGATGTCTCCATCTGAGCTAGTCACGCTAGGCTTCCTTTATGGAGGAGAATATGGGGAAATATAGGCACAGCTATGAGTCATCCCCTCCCCAGGTCAGTGTCTAAACCAGGTCAGGCAAATCTTGCCCATTTCTCTTCTTTTCTTGTAAAAGGAGGTGCAATGAATAGGTCTGTAAAGTTATGTGGTGCCCATCCTCTATCTGGTGTCCAAACCAGATGATTTGAGCTGGGGCAGAAGGGCCAAGCTGTGGTGAGGGCATTGCCAGAAAATGCTGAGTAACCACAGCCCAGTGGGGTAAATTGGCTCAGATGGAGCTCATTTCACTGTGGGATAGGAGGCAAGGAGTGCAATGCGGGAGAGGAAATGGCCTAAGAAGAATGCCCATAAAAGTCACTGTGGGATGTCACCCTAGTGCCAAGACTATGTTTGTTTTGAATCAGAGCAGGTAGCTCTGCTTTTCTGTTTGCCGGCTAGAGTTACTGCCTTCCTGACACCACTGCAATTCACTACGTGACCAGTTACTTCCCCACTCCTGGCCTCTCCTTGCTTTCCACCTCTCCAGACTGCAATACAGTGGTCCCATCTTCACATCCCTGCGGAGCAGCAGGGTGCTGCTGAGTGCTCACACCCCCAGGCAGGCCTGGATCAAAGGATGTTCACCACTGATAGTGGAGCTCCAGTCCAGTGCACTTCCAAGTGCCACAGACACTTGGGCATCTTCCAGCAGGATGTTGGCTGTCTGCACCCTGTGCTGTGGCTCCTTGATGCCCAGCTCTGCCTATGTCCTCTCCCCAGCTGCCTGGCCTAGAGCTGAACTGGGTGTTGAAACAGAGGAGCGTTTCCCATGCTATGTGTACGTCAGGGATGCGTGGGGAAAGGAAGTGCAGCAATTGCCAGAAGCAGCAGTGAAGTTACTGTATGGTGTTATCATCTGATGAGAAAAGTAATGAAGCAAAAATGCCTTGAGCGTGCCGTGAGCCAGCTCCTCTGTCAAGGGATTACTGCTGAGGACCCTCAAGACCTTATGTGCACCCATGACTGTAACCCATGAGTAAGAGCGTAAAGCATGCACGCAAGGTAAATAAATGGTTAGAGAGAGCTGCTCCAAGTCAAATTCCTCCCCCCAGACTTTTTTCTTTTCCTTTCTCACCATTGAGACACAAACAAAAGCTCAAGTGATGTCATGGGGCAATGCATTTGGCAAGTTTCTCTCTGCTGCGTCCTGGTATGCACCAAGCCCATTTAGTGGCACTGTCTGCATTTGCCAGAGGTGGCACAGGCAGAAGATAACACCAGAGCCCGACAGTACAAAGCAGGGTGCAGAGGAGGGATGAGGCTTTTCATATCTACTGTAACTGCTTCCCCTCAGTGCTAACCTGGAGCTAAACCACTGGGACAAGTGCCAAATTCCATCTCCCTGCTGTAGGTCGGTGACTGACAGCGTGGGGGCTGGTGCTGTAGGGGCCTTTCGTTTCCCTCCCCAAAAAGTGACTTAATTTGCTTAAAACCAGACAAACAACCCCGTGTGTGTGTGTGTGTATGTGTGTGTGTTTGCACGTGCACATGACGTACTTTGGAAAGGAGTGCAAGTCCTCAGAAGCTGATGTGGGAATTTAGGACCAATCCTGAACTCAGGACTTGGGTTCCTCAGCCTCAGCAGCACACTGATGGACAGTTTTGTGCCAGGACTTTTCAGAGATCCCCTTTATCTAGTTGCTAGGCAGAACGGAGGTTCTGGTGCCTTTAACCCTGACAGAGGATTTGGTATCAAGGCAACTCCTTGCTTTGTGCTTGGATATTTCTGGGAAAGCCAGCTGGGAGGTAAGGAGAGGTATGTTCATTAAGTGCCTTCACTTGGAGTTAAAGGGCCAAGCACGCTCCTGCTCCTTCACCCTCCTACCAGCAGCTCACTGGGATGAAGAAAATGGTTAAAGGTGCTGCATGATGAGAAATCAGCCTGGTAATTGCATTACCCCCAGGGAGGGGTGGCTGCCGGTCACAGGTATCGAGGTACAGCCCTGGGTGAATGCTGGTTCTTGTTTTCTTGTTCCCTTCCTCTGGCCACGGTCCCTCTCCGGAAATAACATCTTTGCTCCTCATTCATTAATGCCCTGGCTGTGAGATTTGTGTGTTGGAGCCAAGTGGCACAATCTGACCTGCCCTGTACGATCAAAACAAGCTGTCCCAAATAGTCACCTCCCTGGCTGGAAGTGGAAGCACCTGGGGTGGGATTCCCACTGACCCCACGTGCCTGTACCCCATGAATGGGTTGGTACCAAAGCCTATTAATAGAAAAAGAGGAAGGGAAGGGGGAAAAAACCACAGCTCTTTTCCCAACAGCGCCTAGCTCTGCTTGGGCAGAAAGCCTGTCCCGTGCTGCTGGCACATTGCAGTGCATCACCCCAGTCATTGTTCAGCTTTCTATCATCTATACCTGTATATATGGGGGCTTTTTGGCTGCAGAGACCCCACAGAGCTGAGCCCTCTGTGTCACCCCAGCAGTATGTTTGCCTCACGCCGAGGTGACCAGCCTGTATACAGATTTGCTACAAGGCTCATCCTCTTTGTCCCTTGCTTGCAGCGGCTCGGCTAAGAAGCCTGAAGCTTTCCTGAAGGTGACGAGGGGCAACAGCTGAAACCGCGGATCTGCTTCCTCCACTGAGAAATACATCCAGAAATGTTTCACTATTGCAGCCCACTGGAAAAGAGCTGGCCTGGGCCCCGCTCAGCTCTGGGCTTGCAGCACTCCGAGAGCTGAGCAGGCATGGAGGCACTCTCGCTTTAAGGATTGATTTCCTAAGTGAACTGTCAACTCCCGGTGGCTAGAAAAATCTGCAAACAATTTCTAGTCACTGAACAAAGCAAATCCTTGTCCTGTGCTGTAATAGTTCGTTATTAAATAAAGGACCCTTTGTTAGGCTATAAGAAACGGCGTGCACTCCGCCGCGCTTCGCAGTGTGCCTTGGTGTGGCTTTGCAATGATGTAAAATTGTGTATTTCGTGTCCTGTGAAAAGAGACAGAGCGGGTTAGTTTGGTATCTGTAGCACAGGGTGAAGCAATGATCACAGCACAGCTCAGATGATAGAACTTTATTGTTGATGCATTTGATTCATGATCCTATGAGGAGACCCCGAGACCGGACTTTCCTTTGTAACAGGGTAAATCAGGAACAACGTGGGTGGAATTACTAGTGAGGAGAGAGAGGGATAACTTTAGCAGCTGGAAATCCTACAAGTTGTGTTACTTACTGGGCTATCTTTTTGCAGTTCTAGGCTTAAATGAGTCAAACGGAATCAAAGGGCATCAGTGTTTACCCATCCAGGAAAGCAGATGTGATTCCAGCTCCCTCCTTTCTTTTGCTCTTCACCCAGCAAGCTGCCAGTCATCTGCCAGTATCTGCCCTACAGCTGCAGAGCCCCAATACGCCGCTCAGCATCTGCTTGTGTTGACTGTTAGTGTCACTCTGTGATAGACCCGGCTGTGGCACAGGCATGGCAACCATAAGCCCTTTGCTTGTGCTAGAGGGGTAAGGGGATCAGACCTTGCTTCACACAGAACTGAATCCACATGGTCCAAAATGCTTCCCCTGCTGCAGCTTTGAGGCATGGGATCTTCTTCTCCCTGCCAGCACACAGGCCCTTAGGCTTGAACTCTGCTAAACTCAGTGTTTTCCTTTGCATGTCATTCAAACACATTCTGCCAGGCTGTGACCTGTCAACCAAACCAGTCATAGAATCACAGACTGCTTTGGGTTGGAAGGGACCTTAAAGCTCATCCAGTTCCAATCCCCTGCCATGGGCAGGGACACCTTCCACTAGAGCAGCTTGCTCCAAGCCCCTGTGTCCAAGCTGGCCTTGAACACTGCCAGGGATGGGGCAGCCACAGCTTCTCTGGGCACCCTGTGCCAGCGCCTCAGCGCCCTCACAGGGAAGAATTTCTTCCTAATGTCTGACCTCAATCTGCCCTCTGTCAGGTTAAAGCCACTCCCCTTGTCCTGTCACTACAGGCCCTTGTCCAAAGCCCCTCTCCTGGTTTCCTGTAGCTCCTTTAGGCACTGGAGCTGCTCTAAGGTCTCCCCTTCAGGAGCCTTCTCTTCTCCAGGCTGACCCAGCCCAGCTCTCTCAGCCCGGCTCCAGAGCAGAGCTGCCCCAGCCCTCACAGCATCTCTGTGGCCTCCTCTGGGCTCGCTCAGCAGTTCCAGACAGACCATCATACAAGCTTGCATGCCTCGTTGTTTTTTTTCTTGTGATGTTTTCCACAGGGTTGGCAGCTCATGAGCAGGGCTGTAGTTTTCCTGCTCCTTCCTTCCTGCTACTTTACATAAGGCAGTTGCTATCAATTCCCTGCTCTGCTGGCCAGCAGCCAGCTCAGGTAGTTGCACTCAGCCCTTCCAGAGAAAAACCATGTTTTTCCTTACTTACCACCTCCAAATGCTGTTTAGAGCATCTGCAAGAAGCTTCTACGTATCTTCCAGACTCATCTTGGTGGCAGAGCCACTGCTGCTGCTACTGCAAGGCAGTGGGAGGTTTGCTAAAATGCCCCATTCACTTGTTCTGATGCTCCCAGGGACAAAAGGGAGGTTAAAGGCACTGATGTCCCCCAGCCAGACTCCAGCATCACTTTCCCCCGTGCTCCTGTTGGTTTTACCCTTGCTGGTGTTTGGCCATCTGTAAAGGCAGGCAGGAAACTGGCAGTGGAGGCTGGAGAGGTCTCACCCCCAGGACCGTGCGGCTGAAGCCTTGCTAGGTCTACATCTTGGGTGCAGCCCAGCAGTGATGCCAGCGAGGGCATGAGAAGCACATCACTACCCTGCATTACAAAGGCTCTCACTTCCCAGCAGTCCCCAGCAGAGCCCGTGGCGAGCGGGATGCCTTGTCCATCAGCCGGGACGGCACTGCACAGTGAGCAGGGTCTCCCACAGCGTGGCAGCACTGAACTGCTCATACACCTCAGTGGTCCCAAACGCGGCTCTTCCTCCGCTGCTTCCAACTCTGCGAGCTTCCCTGTGGCCCAGGGGAGCAGCACAGGTCTAGGGGAGACAGGCTCACTGCTGAGCCCTCGGAGGCCAATAGTGACAGGTGAATTAGAAGCCAGAAAGCCAAAGGTGTGATGGAGTTGAAGAGACGTGTGTGATGCTGAGCAGCGCAGCAACACCGCCACAGTGCAAACCAGGCACCCGGCCTCGCTCCCGAGTGGCAGGATGAAGACAAGGCAAACCCCTTCCCTCCTGCCATCAAACTCTGCTGCAAACAAGGCTGCTCGCACCAAACCCCCACACAGGCACCCGGACCACCAAGGACTTTAACTGGGGATGGAGGCTGGCCGGGCTCTGCAGGACGTGTGCTACGTGTCAGTGCCGTGTTCCCAGCTCCCTTGGCTTCCCGGCCCTCCTGGGGTCGGGATTGCATTGCCACACATCCCACACGGCGCCCAGGGGATTTTCCTGGGAGGCAACTGGCTCGTCCTTCCGCTTTTGCCATTTGTTTACCTTTCAGGAGGTTTTCCCTTTCACTCCTCCCCTGATGTAAGCTGGAGCTGGGATTTTCCAGCCGTGGGAGCAGGGTGGCACTGGTCTACTCCCTGCTTTAGCCACCCTACCTAGACCCAAGAGCCAGGAGCTGAGGTCCAGCTCGCTGGCAGCAGCAGTGGTGAGGCAGCTGTGGTGCTCACCTCCCAAGGGCCTCAGATGTGCTTTTTGGAGCCCTCCTGCACTGCAAATATCATGATAAGGTCCCTGGAGAGACCTTACTTAAAAATGGGGAGACTCAAAACCCAGAATGCACCCCCAATTTGAAACTGTTGCTGGCCCCATCGCTGCTGCGTGCATGCGGTGGCTCTAAAATGGCCAAACGCTGTCTTTCTGTTTTTCTCCCCCTAAATATGATGTTTTCATTGCAGTGGACCAGCACTTACCAGCAAAAAGCCTTTGACCAAATAATCCTGTCCAGCGAACACACCACAGTGGCACCAGCAAATCTGAGCAGTGCCACCATCTAGGCTACTCTGGGAACAGAGTTTGGGGTTTTGAGGTTCTCTGGTTTTAAGTAAGTTTAGAGCAAGGCCAACCAGGCATGGGCTGACTTTCCTGTGTCCATTT